ATATTTTCGGTTCAAAAATGCAATGTTTAGAGTGAAACAATGATCCACAATCTGCGCAACTAATAACAAAGCTATTTTTTAAATTCTTGTTTTTACTTTGACATTTTTAACAATTATTTATTTAGAAAAATGCGTTGTACATTGTAAAATCAAAAAATTTTATAAATATCTATGTTTCAGAAATACGCGATTAATCAATGCACCTAAACATTAATATTTGTGTAAGTATTTTATAATTTATTTCTTTTTCTTTTTAAATTACTGCATTCTTTGCTGAAAATACAAGAATCCGCTGTATTGTAATAGTAAAACATTTTCCTCACTGAAAAAAATGTTTAATTCAACAAACCGTCTGTTTAATTTTGAACGAAACAGACAAATTCTAATTGAATCTACCAGAATTCCTATTAATGCAACAATTCTAGTTGATTTAACCAGAATCTGATAGATTTAACAATCTGTTTAGTTACGAGCTCATAACTAGAATCTATCTATTTCGACGAAAATTGAACAGACAATTTGTTGAATCAAACAGAACATTTCTCTCAGTGCTTAATTTTCTATAGATATTATTCCGTTTTTTATTTTCACTCATATAAATATGTAAGTATATAATTTAAAAGTAATAAACAATTTTTCTATTTTCCCAAGTATTTGTCATAAATGTTTTTTCCATAATCAAGATAACGATCAAATCAAGTACACTCGAGCTAATAATGTACTATATATGTATAATGTATGTACAGTTAATAATTTACGTCAATGTAAACAAAATTTAAATAACGTAACTATCCAATCTGCGATATACAAGATTAGAACTCATCGAAACTATCAGAAAATTTTATACGATATTTAAAATTTGTAAAGTATAGTCTCTTTTTTATAATAAACTTTAGTTTTTGAATATCAATAATATTTTATTTAAAATTGTGTATGTGAATCAAGCTAATTTAGGTGTATTCTTAAATATTTCTTCGATGACATTGTTCGGTAATATCAGGATGTCAACCGTGCTAAACTTAAAATTGTGTGATTGTCTTTACTACATTGATGGACAAAAGTAAGAACGCTTTGATCATGATTGCACCATCGCAATTTTTTTTCACAGATAAAATTTTCAAAAGAAAAAGTTGAGAATAGATGGATGAGTTCTTAAACGATAGTTCAAGGGCGAATAATTAATTTCGTACCTGAAATATCCGCGCACAAATGACAGGATACTTGACCTCGACTTTGAAATGCATCTACATAATTTCTGTTCTTTTATGCCTTACGCCTCTTGATTTTTAGAGTAAAATTTATTCCGCGTCCATCAATGAAATCAAATGTGGCATCGATACCGCTTATCTCATTCTCTTATTCCAAATACTATGCTTGTGTATAATATTTTAACAATGAGCAGACAGGATATTCCAGGACCATCAGACGTTTCTTTAATTGTAGATTGTCTGGCTAATTTCAATATAATGAATAAAACATTAAAAAACGGACAGAAAAAAATCTATAAAAACCAAAGTTCATTCGAGGATTCAAAGGATATTACAAATTAAAAGAGAGTAATACAGAAACTGTCATCTCTAACTTTTAGGCCCTCTTCGGACTGATTACTTACAACCAGTAATTATAATCACGCGTAATTTACTTTGCGGCATTATTATTTATCAATTTTTTTCAATTATAAGTAAATTGAAAGAAACAAATTTTAAATATATATGAATTACATATAAATTTTTCTTCCTCAGAAGCATACGTTCTAGTAAATAATTAGAATTTACTAGAATAGAAATTTTATTGTGTAATTACTGAGCACAATTATTGGAAGATTTAAAAAATCCTGGAAAAGTCCATCTTCTCTCACGTCAGAGATGGCCAATTATGTCACAACAAAACATATTAAGTCACAGCAAAGAATAAGATTTATAATTTTTTTTATGAAACTTTTTTCTTTGAAAGTGTTATTAATTGAGTCTAGTAGCAATTGCGCTACCTTGTATCGCAACAACTCACACAAAATCACAATTCTTCATAAAGTAATCTCGTATGTAAATAAAACGCTACAAAAAACGTTTCAAAGATAAACAGACGTGTTATCGAAAAAAACCTTGTAATAATCTCTGTTAACGCAAAGCCTCTTGTATTAGAATATAATTTGTTGAGATAATGAAATATGTAAAACAAAATATCCTCACCAATGTCGATCCGCATTCTTAATAATTCTTGTTTACGGTTTTATGATTTATAGAATATTAATATTACAGGAATTCTCTTTTTTGTTTAAAAAAAGTGAAAGTCACCTAAAATTTTCAAAAAAAAATCATTTAAAAAATGACTATTCAATATAACAAGTGATACGAAAAAATAATTTTTCTATTGGAAAAATATATATTATATTGTAGTTCAATAAAATAGGAATTTTGATAATCTGAAAAAAAAGTCTATCAAATGTTATAAAATATATTGTATTTCTATAATTAATATAAATAAAAGATACAAAATTATGAACAAAAACAAAAATTAAACTCTATACTGATTTTTTTTTTATATCAATAAGTATTTAATGCAAATAACTATGAAAAATTATATATAAATCACATAAGAAAATTTGTTTTAATAAGAACACAATACAGGCATTATTGGTACAAATACTTAATTAATTTAACAGATTAGATATATGTATATGACAGATACAATGCAATTTGAATTTCTTTTATGAACATATTTATTTTCTTTCGTAGTATCTTGATTTAAACCAAGTTAATATTGTCTTTGCAATTAGAAAATTATTATATTCAATTAATTAAATGGATAAATCAAATTTTTTTTAAATTGTCAAACAATTAATCTATCCAAATTTCATAAAACCGAGAACCATTTTAATTTTATATTTTTTGCAAGAAATGTGAACTAAAACGTAAGTAATTATTAATTTATTGTACATTTAAATGCTTATAATTAATTCATATTTTTTATTTATATTTATTGTCTTAAGGATTGTGATTTGGAGTCTGTATTTTTAGATTTATAATGGAGTAATATTGTAAAGTGTCAAGTAGGCACTAATCACAGATAATTATTATTCAACGATTTTACAACCGATTTTATAACTGTTGTATTTTCTAAACCCACTTAATACTACTTACGCAATTTCATATATAACAAAAATTAAAATTCAAAATTTATTTAGCACATCTGACATCTCTTGTAAAAAGTGACAAAAAATGATTTCAGTCGAGTCCTTGATATTATGACACTGCTTGCTACATGCTATTAATATTTTTATATACATTTTATAATTTTATATCTTTTTTGTGACATTTAAAACATTTTTTATGTAATAATTCCTATCTTACAAGTGAATTTCCTATCGCAATAGTATCGTGATCGATAAATTATCAGAATAATATTAAATAGCTGAGGATCAGCGCAAAAAAAAAACAACACGTGGCAACGTTATATTTCAAGGAAATTGCTTCTTCACAAAAACTTTTCATTATCATTAATTGTCATAATTTTCTGCATTACAAGGATATACACAATGTGACAATTAAGTTTCCGGACTGACATTATTATAGTAATACCTATTAACACTATCAGTCGGGAATCAACGGGATTAGTTAGAAAGACATTTATTTATATGAAGTTATATTTTTTATTTATTATTTATATAAAGTTATAATTTTAATTAGTTTGGTTGATACGTTCAAAAGTTACATAATTGTTTTAATAAAGTTAATTTTTTCGTCATGTCGAAGTTTCAAATAGAACAAAGAGCAGCGATTAAATTTTATGCAAAAGTACGATGAAAAATGTTTATCGAGAACAAGTGTATTTAAATGACATAAAAGGTTCAAAGAGTGGAAGAAGGTCATTAGAGGACGATGAACGGCCGGCCTTCGATTTCCAGAACAGAAAAGTCGACAGAAAGTATTCAAAAGTGTTCAGCCAAAGATCGAACTTCAAGTGTTAGAAGAGATGACAGGGATCAATAGAGAGACAGTACGTAAAATTTTAGTCGAAGATTTAAAAAAGAAAAAAATGTGCTCGTTTCGCAGAAACGAGATTTGAGGATGTGTCATCGAGGATATGTCAACGGACTGTGACGCGAAAGAACTGAAGGGAAGAGGCGTTTTTCTCAGGCATTCGATTCGTTATATGAGTGATTTAAATGTTGTTCTGAAGCGAGTGTGAACTATATTGAATCATACTATTAATAAATATTTTCAATCTTTTATGTGTGTTTTTTATGACCTCAATCCGGGAATTTAATTGTTACACCGTGTATAACAATATTTTTAACATTCCATACTTATCTTCTTAAATATCTTCATAATAAAATTAAACTTATTAAAATAAAGTTTCCTTCAAAAATTAAATGACAAATAATACAAATTTACAAGAACTATAAGTACTTCAATAAAAAAAAAATACTTGAAATTTCACGAGAAATAATGTTACTTGTCCACTTTCTAATAATTTTTTTACAGCAAATAATTAAAGTAAACTAGTCGCAAGCTGATTTTTACTTGTAATATCTTTAAGAGAAAGCGCCAAGAATAATGAAGCATCAAGAAGCAAATTATGTGATCAATATCTGTATTCCCACCCCTCTAAATTCATGAATTTCGTGTCGCACAAAGATCGGTATGTGGAAAGAAAATGGGATGGGCAGGGGAAACCCGACGCGTGATTGCCAAAACTTCGAGCAGCGACACCAATCTACTGAGTCGAAACTATTTCGGCACGGTCGGTCCACAGCGCGGAGGCGCAACGATTTCGAATGTGATGACCTTGGCCGAAGGGTATTACGCCCGCAGTCCATCGCTGCCGAGAAGATACCTTTCCCCTCCCGCAGACGGTCACTTGCGCTAAGCGACCTTGACTGAGCGCAGCGCGGGCTTCCCAGACGATCACCTGCGGCCTCATGGTGCAGCCCCTCCTCGCGTTCTCGCGTGCGGCTTGAAGCCCCACTTAAGTTAGCCAATACTTAAGCCGTGGGCCCAACGCGGCGCGGACTATTCCCGCAGCATCAACCATTGGACCCGTAAGCTCACGTCCGCATCGGCACGTTGGACACGCGTGTGACACAATTTATTCTACATAATCGGGACTGATACTGTGCCATTAACTTCACGACGAGCGCGTATATCGCGGGAGTTTATGTAGCATCCGAAAAACGTGTTTCAACCCCGCGGCAGCGATCGGACAGTGAGACGAGAGCCTCTCTTCGAGCTTTCGCGACCCTTCGCCGCATCGAAGGGAATTCCTTCGTTTTTAGAGATCCACCGGTATTCCATTAACCATCGGCGGGACGTTGATCGAAGGGAAGTGTGCGAGAGAGTCAAGCGAGCGAGTCTCGGATGGTCTGTTTGACGGATAGCTTGGTTTGATGCGAGCCTGAATCGCGCAATCGGTGATTCTGGTGACACGAAGCCCGAGGAGGCAGAGCAGGGAGTAGTGAAGTGCAATAGTGCCGAACCAGCCTCTGAGCGTGAACGGAAGGTAAGCACAAAACTATTTGGAAATTACGGGGAGGTGAGCGAAACGTATCGCGCGAGAGTTAGAGTTATCGATCGATCGAAACTGAATTTCCGTTGCGAGAAATCGGGTCGATTCCTTAAACGGATCGACGCGCACGACCTGCAAAAACCTTGTGCGAAAATGCACCTATATGACGTCGAGTTCAAAAGTAAAAAGTACAAAACAATTTGATCGAGGAACGTGAAAAGGTGAATAGAAAAGATAAATTCCTTGTCAGAAAGATATTTTTTCTTTTGTGTCATCTCTTTCGAGTGAAAATCATCTACCATTCTATCTACGTAGCTAACATCAGACATTTGAAGTAGTAAAGCAATACGCTAGTGTCCAACGAAGAATTAATATTCCAAAGCGTGCAGGGATCAGCTGGGTTCCTTGACTCAAAAGCAAGAAGAGCTGTAACTTCTGGTGTTTAACTCTCAGTTTAATAAAATGGTGATGTATAGCACCAAATTAAAATAATTAAGATCAATCTATTATGATTTAACAAAAGAATATTAAACAAATGGATGGAAACAAACTAATTGCTTTTTTTAAACATGATTAATCAAGTAAATATAATTCAGGTTTCTAATATTTAAAGGATGAAAGTTTGTGTTAATATAACATTGTCATTTTATATAAATCTTTGCAAAATTATAAACTAAATTGCCAACTTGTAAAACAGCTAGATGCATCCTAGACTTGCCGCTAAATTTCTTTTCGATCTATAATATATATTTATAAAGATGGTTAAGTCTATGTATGAATGCACATAATTGATATTTTTTCTTTTCGTTATTTATAATATATTAAATAATAAAGTTTCTTAAATGCGTGATATTCATGAAGCAAACTGTGTGATCAATGAAAAAACTATATATGATTACGCTCAAATCCTGTTTGCATTTTACACGTGCATATTCGAGTTTGTTAGTATGCTAATGTTATGTATAAATGTTACATCTTAATTCTAATTGCATATTTTATTCATCAATATATATGTATTTTATTTAATCTAGAGATTTGTCGTATTAATTTTCATTTTAACGAGCTTTGGAAAATAAAACCAATTATTTTACTTACAAAGATTTTTTCAGCAAAAATATTAAAAACAATAAAAAATATATAGGATATTTTAAAATTATTAATAATTATGTTATATGTACTAGCAACACGTGCTATTATACCAGTTATCATATTTTAATATATACAACTGCTGAAAACGAGTTTAAAATGGTTCGCGAATTCGCATTCGCGAATTTCATATAAAATATAGAAAATTTTTCGAAAGTAATCACGTGCCTATTATCTAAATCATGTCCTGCTCAACTCGTGTCAATAAAGTGGAACAAGCAAATTATCTTTGATGTGCGGCTGCATCACAGTTTCACTGTGTCATATGCAAATGTTTTTCCACTATAGAGTCCACTCCACAGAATAGAGTCTTCGAAAATAAGGACAACATTGCATTAACCATTTTTAATAAAAAAAAAATTCCCAAATTATGCTGTAATAATTTCAAAAATTATTATACCAAAAGTGGATCAAATTTCGTATATTTCAAAAATTTTTCGTATATATAATATATAATACTCCTTAACCTAAACAAGCAAAATAAATTTTTATCAAACGTTATTTTAAAAATATAAATACGCATATGATAACATAATAAAACAATAAAAATAAAATATATATTGAGCACATTTTAAAAACGTTAAATTAATTTTTTCCACAAAATATATTACTATATTTATTTATGCATTTTTTATTTATTTCAATTTTATACAAAAAAAATATTAAAAATGCATAGGTCTCAGAAATTTTATTATAGAAAAATATTGCAACAATATTGAAAAAATTAAATGAAAGCGTTAAATGAAAGCAGGTTATTAATTTCGTTTCTTTTACGTGCATTCAGACTACGTAAATTCTCGAAAGTTCATCCGCATTTCATAATCAAAATATTTCATCATGTGAAGTACAACATAATTACTACTGGCTGGTTAGAAACGCGCATTGCAATTATTTTAACTTGAGATGCCTAATCTTGTATGCTATCATGAGTATTGTATCATACAATTTGTATGTATGTCATATGTTTCGGCAGAAAACAGAAAGATTCATTCATGTGTTCATCAGCACAAACTTCATAGAAACTTCTTTCGCTACGCAAAAATCTGTACGCTATCGTGCACGCGCGGATTCTCGCTTTGCATGGTCAACTACCTATCTTAATGTAACCCTCGTATATGTGTTCAGGTACGTGAAATGCGTTACGTTACATAATCTCGAAACACACCGTAATATTCGGCACAAGGTCGCTGGATCGTTTTCGAACCACTTTCTTAGCGCGTCATGATTTCGCGTATTCGAGCAAAATATTCAGCTCTTTCGAAGATAGCAGACATGAGTGCATATTTATCAACGCATCATGCAAAAAGTCCGGCAAGCTTGTTGCAGAACTAGCAGAACTGTTGAGTGAAAGATGTGTAGTGCCAGAGTTTGTTGGATGTGAAAAGTACACAGAAAAACATAAATAAAAATTTTCGCTTTTAAATATATTTATCTGAATCAAATCCAAAATAGCGACACATTTTCAGTATAAAATATGGGAAAAATTAAATCATCTGATTAACAGTTAATAAATGATGTAATTTGTACTATAATACTTCCATTAAATGCATGAGTCGCGATATCTAGAGAATCTGAAGAATTATGCATTAATATGCACATGCTGTTATTGCCTTCCGTGAATTAATTTAATAAAAAGAAAAAAATTTATCTCAAAGAGAGAGGGGAGGGGGGGAGGGAGACATTCATGATATTGTAAATAGCAATTTAATATGATAATTAAACGTGACGTAATTGTAAATGACTTATAATTATTGTTTTCTAACGTATCGTGCGACATACGATATACACACTTTTTCTGACGATAAATTACGGGAATTTTTCTATTGTTAAAGTAAACGGAAATATTAAGATATTGTTAAAATAAACGATTAAGACTGTTAGTCGAAAAATGATTTTTTTAATTATATCACGCATTTTTCTCAAAGAAAAATTAAATTATAAGAATAATCGCAATGTTATTATTTATAGTTATCCTAATTTATTAAAAAATAAATGCAAGTAAATCGGGTTAATTTTTAAAACTACTATGAAGTGTTTAGAAACAATCTACTTCGCTCGCCGATACGATTCATCTATATTTCATGCTCACATAATTAATAATTCATTCATAAAACAGGAAACTCAACCGCAACTACAAGTAAATCGCAAAGTGTGAATACTCGTTACACATTTAAATACACATTATTCGAGCTCGTTAGCGTTAATAGCATTTTTGATATTTTAATTTTAAAATATTTTGTTAAACCAATTTAATTAAATGAGAAGATAAAATAAAAACGAGGCCTAATTAAAATGAGGCGCTTCATTAATTTCCACCTAGATGACTAATCATTATGACGCAGAAAGTGTTAAAGCAAGAGAAAATATACATTTCGCATTTACACGAAAGATTAACATATGACTTCATGACACAACACGCCTCCTTAGAGACAGTTTACGCTAGTCAAGGCTGAGATCTCTCCAACGGAGGCTAAGGGAATTTCGAAAGAACGGTAACGCACCGTTGCTCTTATCTAAATCGAGGACGTTAAAACGTAGACTTAAGAATTGCACACTATCACTTTCGCGTTGCCGACGATAACGACGCATTCATCGTGCGTTACCGCCTGATTCATGTTTTTTCATTAGTTGACACAGCAATATTCGATTTATGTTTAACGACGCTAGTATTTGATCTAGCCTGAAGAATCCACAATGCAAAAGCAAAAATTTTCATAAAACATACACCAGCTATTCCATATAGAATTGGAAATATACAGATACATACGTATATTATTTTCTCTTTCAGTCAACAAAAATGCAACTATCGTGAAACAAACTTCTCGTTCTTATTTTCTTTCAATTTACGTATAATTTGTTTCCCAATCTGCAAAAACTCATCCTCTTCACAAGCGAATAGTACAAACTTGCCGAATCTATGTTGCATATCTCAATGTTGCAATAACATTAGACGAAAAACATGCTTTCACATAGAACAAGAACCCAATTTTTACGTTTCGCTGCTCGACGCATCGACGTAAAACGTAAGAGCGTTCAATTGGAAATTGCGACCTCGCAATTAAGTTTCCTAAAAGTTTTCTTCGACCGACTGACAAAAAAAATGGAATTACGAAGGAACCAGTATGGTAAACAGTTTTACCGGTTTAATTGTATTTTGCTGCTTATCGATAGCTGAAGACAAAATCGTCGCAGGAGCAGCGATTAACTCCGATCGTAAATTTCGGGGAAAAAGGACGAGTGCGCGATGTTGCAAGACGTTCCGACTTATCTACTTTCCTCATAAAAGAGAAACTGGCTGTGATCGATCGTCAGATTTTCTTGTCAGATTTCCAAGAGAAATGCTGCTTAACACTCGAGAAGCGATGCGGAATATTATGTGGCGGATAAAGCAAGCTTGACGTGTGAGTGATTGTTCGATTTGAATAACGAACATCTGTAATAGATTAATAACGCGATATCTTGTGTCATGTGCTATTATTATGATACAATTTCTTTCTTATTTCCAGGTCAGATTGAAATGTATAGAAATTCGTATTGTGTTATCGGGTCAATCAAAATAATCGCGCAAAAAAAACCAAATATAGTAATAAAATTCTTCATCAATGAAATAATCGTCACAAAATTGTCAAATATATTTTTCACTTTCTCTCATTTTTTATCCTTTTTCTCCTTTTCTCTTTAATCCTTCTTTTTCTTTATTCATAAATTTTACAATCATTAAAAAATAATTATTGCTCGGATCATTAGAAAATATTATAATATTGTCCCCATATTTCATATTTAGCTGTCTTATCTCTCAATGACATTATTATATACTCCGACTTATCTTAATTTTGCTACAATTTTAT